TCCTAGTAGCGATGCCAGGAGCCCTAGTAGCTTCTTGCTCCTAGTAGTAAGGCCAGGAGCCCAAAGTAGCATCCTTGCTCCTAGGTAGCGATGCCAGGAGCCCCTAGTAGCGTCCTTGCTCCTAGTAGCGATGCCAGGAGCCCCTAGTAGCTTCTTGCTCCTAGTAGCAAGGCCAGGAGCCCCTAGTAGCATCCTTGCTCCTAGTAGCGATGCCAGGAGCCCTAGTAGTGTCCTTGCTCCTAGCAGCGATGCCAGGAGCCCCTAGTAGCTTCTTGTTCCTAGCAGTATGGCCAGAACCCCTAGTAGCATCCTTGCATGCCAGGAGCCCCTAGTAGCGTCCTTGCTCCTAGTTGCCAGGAGCCCTAGTAGCTTCTTGCTCCTAGTAGTAAGGCCAGGAGCCCATAGTAGCATCCTTGCTCCTAGTAGCGATGCCAGGAGCCCCTAGTAGCGTCCTTGCTCCTAGTAGCGATGCCAGGAGCCCCCAGTAGCTTCTTGCTCCTAGTAGCAAGGCCAGGAGCCCCTAATAGCGGCCTTGCTCCTAGTAGCGATGCCAGGAGCCCCTAGTAGGGTCCTTGCTCCTAGTAGCGATGCCAGGAGCCCCTAGTAGTGTCCTTGCTCCTAGTAGCGATGCCCTTTGTTACTATTAGCTTAGGTTCTTGCTGTATTTCAGCCTGCCCTTCAAGGGGTCGCTTATGGTGGGACACTCTTCATCTTGGAAAGTCATTGACACAATACATCAAACTGACATGCTTATCTTATACTGACTGAGCTAGCAATATGTACACCCACACAAACCAGGTGGGAATTGGCCTAACACTTGCTGGGCAATCCTTTACCCCCCATATTATCGGCTACCAGGTAGCTGAACAAGCTGAAGTGATGGGGCCAGCTGTTCCAGGCTGAAGAGCTGCGGATGCAAATCCACAGCGCCAGGCACCGCTAAATCTTTGGCATCCAAAGAACCTCAGCCACGACTGGTGACAGGGCCACGACTGGTGTGGCCACGCAGGTCTTGAGAATGTCTTTTGTCAGAAGTAGAACATGGCCACAAATGACAAGCAGCGGGTGTCCATGTTGGCTTATAGAGTCCAGATAGTTTCAAGCTACTTGTGATCTGTTGAAAAGAACTATCCCAGAAACGCCACCAGATTCAACCAGGAAGCAGCAAACGATGTTGCTGTTGGCGATGGCCCAGCCCCAATCATCTCGACGAATCACCTTGGCCTGAGGAAACGCGCCCAGCTCCACACGATGTCCGTCGGCACCTGCCATTCTGAAGAATCAGTCTTTTTCCTTGACAAGAGCTGAAAATCTCAACCAAACCAAATCTCTTCAAATCTCAGCCTCGGTGGTTGTTTGGAAATCTTATGGTTGGAACGAATTGGATCCTTCATTCCGAACATAGACCAGACCGAGCTGCTCAGTTGCCAGTGGTAGGTGAGCCCATTGGGATGTCCCGTGACGCACCGCGAGTCGGGATCAAAGCGAAAGCTGGAGGAGGCCCGCAGCTGGGGATGCAAGCGAAAGGTGAAGTCCCAAACCTGCCGACGCGGTGCAGGGCGCGCACTCACGGTGCGGATGGGCGGGCGTCCCGTTCTTGGGTTCCGGACGGGAACTAGGCCGGTTTTCAACAGGGATTAAAGAGCCAGAAATGGTCTTTGAGCTTTAATTTCCCCAATGGATCCATGTTGTGCACTGCAAGCAGTATTTGGAGTGTACCTAGCAGGTATAGCTCCTGGTTACAGCATATCCAACTTTGCCGAGGCACATTCTCTGTAAGCTCCTCAAGCGTGATACAGCTTCGACCACCATCTTGCAAGTGCTGCCTTGCATCGGCAAGTTGCAAAGTTGCTTGGCTGATGGAGACTAGCCGACTAGCTACACCAAGAGGACGCTACTAGGACTTAGGAGCAAAGGGCATCGCTACTAGGAGCAAGAACGCTACTAGGGGCTCCTGGCCGTACTACTAGGAGCAAGTAGCTATTAAAAACAATAAAGAACTATAAAATAGAAATGGCTGATGGAGACTAGCCGACTAGCTACACCAAGGCCTAATTGCACCAGTTAGACTTAGCTTCGTGCAGACCTTGCAGCTCTCGCGCTGGACTATAGACACTCTAGGCTCGTTTTACTCGTTCCACTCGTGTTGACTACATACAATGCCAACGTCTTTCGCATGTCCAGAAATCTGACTCAACTCGCTGAGAACTTGTACGCCCCCCCACCTGTAATGCTCCTTCCAGCTGATTCCTTGAGAACTGAGCTCCTCTTGACGTCGCTTGGTGAGGTGGAAGCTGCTCACCTGCACGACGGAAGCTGCGCGACTCATGAAGCCGAGTGTATTTGGTGCTTTGAAACAGATTCTTTCGCAATCGAACTGTATGAGCTTTAAAGAAGATGACATCGCAGCTAGCGCGTATGCTAGTTCAACGTCCACCTGCATTGTTCAGCAACTATAGCAATGCAGGCAGTCCACATTTTGCCATGCAAGGAGGTCAGAGAGCAGAACGGTGGTGGTGGTGGTGGTGGTGGTGGTGGTGGTGGTGGTGGTGGTGGCGGCGAGCGTCAAAAATCAGAGACGGTGGAACTAATGTTTTGCCATGGAAGAAACATTTAACACTGACCCAGCTGACTTGGTTCTTTACAAACAGATAGTCACCCGCCTTGGTGGACCAGCACGCGCGACAAAGCTCCAACCAAAGCGCATCCTGGACATGGGGACTTCTCCCGAAACAATCAGAGACGAAGTGCACAGCAGTATGGAAAGAGCTTGTTTTGTATTGTAGATTCATGGTATGTTGGATTCAAAAGGTAATTATATAAGTGTCTGCCACTTCTGGGAAGTGTCTTGCGAATCATCGAGAGCTCCTCTTGGGCCGTCTTGCACCAGCGCCTATGCGTGGGCGCCATTCGGCAAAGCTCAAGGGCCCCGACGAAACGGAAGCAAAGGAAATCTTTGAAATCTCGAAGCTCTTGGTTATCCATGGCGCAGGCACATCGGCGGGTGGGCGGGCGCGAGTGAGAGTAGCTCTGGAAGATGCCAGAGTAAGTAGTCAAGAAGCTGGTTGGAACTGATACATCACAAATCTCAAGGTAACCCCTGAGGGGAACATAAAGTCACCAGAGCATACTGAGACTACCAATTGGTCTTGCTTTGGACCGGTTTGGAGTAGCATTCTCACTGCAAACCTCCCACTGAGTAAGTGTCTGTCAACAATTGCTTGTCTGCAAAAACATTTTAAAAAAAAAACAATGTGTAGTATCACTGTATCGGACGGGTTCAATACCTCCAAAAGGAGACATGCTGCACGTGCTGTGCGTGATGTGATACCTGCCAGCATGTTCCAAGGAACTCTAGAAGAAACGTCATGCATCCTGCCAGCTACGCTGCTAGAGTGCGGCAGCTGTCATATTCTTTTAGTGTGTTCTTCTTCTTAGCTGGGGCAGAAAGGCGGGGGTTTGAAGCTGATTTTAGCTGCTGAAGAGAAATCACATTCCGCTACAACTGAACCCAGTATCTTCACCAAGTACAGTTCCTGCTTCCACCACATCAAACACTGAGGGAAGTAGAACAAGTATTTAATAACTTCAGGAGTTCTTGTGCCAGCTTCAATTGGTTGAAAGTTAGGGAGAACTTGTCCCGGTTGAACTCTATAAAGGCTGTTCATTGACATCCAGCAAAAAAGAGTCCTTAGTAGAAGGTCCTCTCACCAACAACACGAAGACCTTAATTATGTAACGTAATTGTAGTGCCTCATTGCAGCAGGTTTTAGAACACCTTCTCCAGCCGCTCGAGTCCGCTAGAGGGCCCTTCTGGCAGAAGGGCCCTGTCTGAGCGACCCATGCTCTTGCGTGGAACATCTTTGCGGGCTCCGGATCCACCTCCAAAAGGCTGCCAATAATGAGAAATCCTCCTTCCCTCGGAGTTTTGTTCCACAGCGTGCAATGAGCACTGACGATCACGAGCTGTTGTTCGTTATCTCATCTTGTTTTGGGGTACATCTGCATCTCCACGGAGGTGGCAACTGCTTGTGAGCTCTGTGCTTTCGCACAGGTTTTTTGACACGCATCCGTCTTCGACTTTCTTCTGAACAAAAAATCGTGACAGCCATAGCTCATCCACCCATGGTGCCTGGCCTCTTGTGGTGAATCTGGCCCACAAGGGCTAGTCTCGCGTTCCTGGCGCTTCAAAAAACACAGGCAAGCGGCACCCTTCGAATAGAGGACGATCCTGGTGGTTAAAACGTGGAGAACAAGGCATTTTTCATAGGTTCTTCCTGCGTCTCGATCAACCGCAGGTGAAGCTCAAATGAAGGGGATCCAGCGACTGGACATGAGCACTTTGACACCCAGCGACATGACCCTTTGTCCTGTGAGGGACCTTCGGCCGTGTCCTCAGCGGCAGGTGGTCATGCAGCAGCAGCTTCCTACCTCTCGATGCCAGGCATTGCTTCCTCCGCTGACGGCATGAAACTACCTTCCAACCGCCCCTTGCCATCTTGAGGTCGCAGCTAACGAATCCCAGTCCTGCGCAAAATGATTGAGGCGTTGGTGCCAAAACAAATGGTCTAGTGACTCCAGTGGTTGCAAGATCGAGGTGTCCTACCTCTTGTTCGACTTGAAAGTGCTAGGATGCTTGGGTGATTCCAAAAACTTCAGGTCTTTAGGTTGGCTCACCTTTTGGAACTTCTCCTCTTACCTGTCAAAGTCGGCTTACCGGATGACGAAGTGCTCGTCGGATGTGAAGAGCACAGGAACATTGAGGACGAAGTATGTGCTCGTCCCCTCCTCATCGTCATCGTAGCTGCTCGAACAGCTTGCGACTTCTTCGTCAACTTCCAGATACCTCGAAAGAGATCGGAGACGAACAGCCTCGACCCGACTCGGACGTCTTTTTTCGTTTTCATGTGGCTAGGACGCGGGAACATTGGTCTGGGCCCAGAAGGCGATGTGGCTGGACTGGCTATTAGTGGAATCAGCATGCTCACAATCCGAGGACATCGGCAACCGGTACATGATACATCATGATACCAGCAACGCATGAAAATTTTGCATTTCCACTGTAGAAATCCTTTCCTCAACCACAGATTGCTTTATGTTCCAAATTTGTTGCACTTTATTTCAATTCCTCTAATCTCTTATCTCAATCCGTCGGCTTGGCGTCTGAGGGTCCCAACGTGGGAAGTAGAATGGGCATTTGGGGCTGCCCAAAGCCCATTTCCACGCAGGTTGAGCCACATGCTGTAGGCATCCCAGTTAAATCAAGGCTCAAAAGCACTAAACTTTAGAATTTAGGAGTAGTGCAATAATGCAATGATAGGAATCAAACACCTTTTTGCACCATCCTGCCTGACACCGGTGAACTTATCCGACAGCATCCAGCACTGTATTTCAACATGCCAGTAACAGTTGCTGTCCACGACCCGAACAAGCTCCTTTGCACCAAACTAAAGGATCAGCCTTTGTTGACTGTCCCACTGAAAATCAATTTCTGGGGAAGCTAGGGACAAGCAAATAGCACCACCGGAATAAAGTTTTGGATAAAGAATGCAATTCCATCAGGGCATTTGCAGTACACTCAAGTGCAAACTCCTGATTTGGAGTCCACCGCAGGCATGATCATTCAATCAATAAGCCGTTCCTCGGAACTTCCGTCGCAACCAAGTGGACCAGCTATCCATGTAAGATGCGAGTCTGTTCTGAAAGCATGGGGACAAGGTGACTTCTAGTTCCATGGTCCGGGACTCCAGGAAAGCAACCGCTGGAAGAAAACCTGAAAATCCAAGGAGTGAACCTTAGGAGTCGGGTTGTTCACCACATTTTCACTTAGACTCATGTCTTGATGGACAAATCATGGCACCACCCGCTGGCTGCGGCCTCGGCGGCACCTCGCTACACAAAAGGGCTCACTCCGTCACTCCCTCTGCTCAAATCCACACAACGTGTCAAATGATGCTTGGGTCTTGAGCTTCAAACATCGTGCAAACTTGCATTTGGTATTGGTCGAGTCATATGTTGATTCTATTTGGAATGTCACTGCATGGCATGAAAATTACCCCAAAGATCCGGGCATGTCAATTCTTCTGCGTATGTGTGTTTGTGTCGTGGTGGGAAACTTCCTTCATTTGCGCTGCAATGCCCATGATCTAAACCGCCCGCACCAAGGCACTGGGAACTAACGCAAAAAACGATTGCAGCGGTCATCCTTTCCGGAGTATTCTGCCGAACTGGGAGCTGTTTGTGCTGTCTGGGATATCCACCTTAAAGTACAAGGGCTATACCTGCGATCGTTCTTTTCATGTGCTTGATTGCTTAGGCTTAGTCCATCCAGTTCCGATTATCTTGCTATTCAAGATTTGTCTCTAAATCATGGGAAGTCAACCACTGCATCTACATCTACAGTATGTGTTTGTCTCTTTCTGACGACTTTGGCTCAGGCGTTTGTCGTGAGACACCAGTATCTTCACGCAAGAGCGAAATCAAAACAAAAAACCAGACGCCCCTGGACCATTGGCTGCATCCCAAACGGCCTGGTGGTGTTGGGAGCGCGCCTACAACCAGATCGCTCGCACAATCGCGCGAGAAAAGCTTCCCAAGCAGAGTACCCTTGCAATGCCCAAGACCTAAGAATCTAGTGCTGCAGGAGTCCTTCCACACCCCTTGTCAGCTCCAAAGTTGGTGCCTGTGTCCAAATCTTCCAGAAACTGCAGTCGGAGAAAAGCCAGGTGATGATGTTTTCTTAATCTGGTTTGGTGACATGGCCCACAGTGCTTGTCTCCACCTGCACTGGTCCCATATAGTCAAAGCAATCC